GAACAGTAAATGCTACTCAGTTTTACAGCAAGTATAATTATGGTGAAGATAATTGGACCAGGATATTCCAGTACAAAACTCACCTTGTCTATGAAACTACTATACATTCTTGGCCAAAATGCTATTGACTGGTTTGTTCTCCCACAATGTGAAATGAAAACACTGGTGACAAGCTTATCATGAGGAAGAAAGCGACAACAGAAACGATACCTAATTAGAATGAGGAGGGTAAATTAACTTTAAAAATCAATATTGTCTCGATGGACATTGTAGGTTCTTAACTTTGAAGGAAAATGCGCCTATTTAGCTCTAGTCATCCCACTAACACCTTTAAGAGTTGCATAAGTGCGTTGAAGGTTATATTTTCAACTGTTCATCCTAGACAAGTAGACTTTTCTTCTCGAAATAGGAATTTTTAGGAACACATACTTAATTTTTCAGGAAATTAGAATTTTAAAGAAAAATGACTACACCCTGCATTGCAATGATAACAAAATAAAAGTCTTGATTGCTTTGAAAATCATGCCAACTTGCTTTTGACTGCTGCAAAGTATGAACTGTTCTGGGCTCATTTATGTGATGTACTTACCCAGTGCAGTAAGTCCTTCAGATATTGAAGTGAATATATACATTAGTACATGAGGCTCTAAACTAGTGATGAAACTCATATGGTCCTGTGTGAGGCATTCCAAAAGTGGGTAATAAGACTGGCTTAGTTTTCGATATTGCTAAGAGAGAGAGAGAGAGAGAGAGAGAGAGAGAGAGAATTATTATGTATTATAGAAAATATTGCATCAAAATATTAAGATGCCTGTAAGGTAACTTTAACACATCCTAGATTACTTTTCCTCCTTATTATAAAGTATATTCTGTGCTGTATTTATTCTCTGCTCTTGACTAATCTGTTGTCAAAATAATCTGCATTCCTTACTGGAACCAGAATGTTTTGGGCTAGACATGCATCAGATCTTGCCATTCTGACTTTGAACAGAGCTGAACCACTCTGGTGCAGTCTGATGTAAAGAGTATGCCTCTTTCATTTTTAAGAGGGAAAGAAAGAAGGAGGGGGTAGAAGTGTCTCATTTCATTTTTCTTTTTCAGTAATGATTACTGAATTTCAGCTTTTTATGTATGCATGAGAATACTAACACTTTCTGATATATTTTAACAGAAAAAGAGGCTTAAAAGCTAAACAGATAAAAAAATAGTATATTTACTGAAAATCTGTTGGAGCCTTGACACCGTGAAGATGAAGTCCAACATAAAGCTGGGTGCAAACATCATAGAAATTGCACATGTTTCCTCAGACAAATGTAATCTAGTTGTCACTAGATGACCCTCAATTGCAGAAAATGACACAGTAATAGTAATCCAACCTTACAGATAATATTGCAATAGATGCTTGTTAATGTTTGCCCCATTGCACTCTACCACCTGTTGTTTATTCCACATCACTAATGTTACTGTGCAATGCATGGGGGGTGGGGGTGGGATCACTACTAAGCTGGTTGTACAGAAACACTCTGATTTCTTTAAATGCCCTGTCCCTTTAAGGGCATAAAAGAAATTGAATGCGATAACCATAGTGCTGCACTGCCACTTCTTCAACTGGTACAGGTCTATGTGATGCACAATGAAAGAAATAGACAAGGTGCTGTGGAACACAGTTTGTCTTTTTGTATCTCTCCTTTGACCATTTATAGCCACCCTATCCTCATGCCATTGTTCCTTGTTAGGTTCAGTTTGAAAACTCTTGGACCAAGCAAGCAAGCTATCATGACACCCAGCTACTGCTTCTCTCTTGGATTTTGGAAATCCTCAACTGAAAATACAGCTGCTGGCAGTGATTTCTAATGGATCAGTTTGCTTGTAAACCAGACTGGGCCTGACCACAGCCACAACAGTATGTGGGGTTCCACTGGAGGCAGGAGCAGGTGGAAAGCCACCTACTCCCTCCTTCCCAACCTAACTCAGCTGATCCTTCCTTTCTATCTGGCACATGCCTAGTGCATGCACACATAACTTGCAGCCACTGGATTACTCAGATCAACATTTGGATCTAGGGCCAATTTTGTGATTTTCTCTAGGGATAATTTGGGATGGAGGAGTTCAGTAGGCCTTCCCACTCTAATGGAAATATTAATACATCCTTCCCTAACTGATTTATCTCACTAAGAAGTGTGCAAATCTGCTTATATAATTATAAACCACTGTACAGAAGAGTTTTTAAAGTTTGTTCCTAGGATGCAGAATCAGGATTTGCATACTTTGGCCTGACTAGCATTTGTTTTAGTCATGTGCTTTTAAGTTGACTCTGACTTGCAGTGACTCTCTTATAGGTGTTTCTTGGTTAGATTTACTCAGAGGAAGTTTGCCATTACCTTCCTCTTAGAATTAGATAATGTAACTTGCATAAGTATGCAGAGATACCATGTAGTGCCTTTGAGACTAACTGAAAGAAAGAAGGTGACAGCATGAGCTTTCTCAGACTTAAGTCTATGAAAGCTCATGCTGCCAACTTCTTTCTTTCAGTTACGTCTCAAAGATGCTACAAGATCTCTCTACTGATTCTACAGACTAACATGGCTATATTTTTAATTCTAATTTGCATAAAGTCATCCAGTGGGTTTCCAAGGCTGAAAAGGAATTAAAAATCCAGAGTCTTAGTCCATCACTCAAACCACTGCACCATGTTGCCTGTCAGGACTAGCATACTTGCCTTTATTTTCCCAGAATCGCATATATTTTTCTCTGGGATGGATGGGTGGGTTGTATAAACCAAGATAAGGTGAATTTAAGTAGATGAGTCTGAGTGCTATGTAGCACTGTACAGAAGGAATGTCTCACTCAATTCACTGCTAAGTCTTTGACAATGGCAGGATTTTCCTTTTTCTCACTCGCCAGATAGTAGACTGTATTATTACTTAACGAAAGGCAATCTACAGGGGCAGGTGCCAGAACAGAAGCAATATGCCCTTGTTTCAAAAATAAAGGGTTGTCAGTGGGCTCCATTACATAATAGAAATTAATATGGGATTGTTTGGGGTGAGTCATCCTTTTGCATCCTGATCTACCTCAAAGAGTTGCAGTAAGGGTGACAGAGAAAGACCTCTTTCTGTCATGGACCTCTCCTTGAACACACTATAGAAAAGGTAGGACATAGCTAATACACATACATACATACATATATACACACACATTATGGCAGCTGCACAAATTGAGACAGAAGGCAAAATAATCCTGCTGATATTCAAAGGTTATTATGTACATACATGATAATTTAGCCAATATCCTCTGTGTTAAAATATTTTGAATAGTCATCATTTATGTTCTTGGAAATACAAATTGTATTTTTGACTGTAACAATACAGAATAAATGTAGGTAGCTGTCACTAAAAATATGGCATTTGAAGTGTTCTAGATCCCCACCCTTTTCTCCATTTTAAGCCTGTGGTGGTGATTTCATATTTTGCATAAAGACTCCCAAGATGAATAACTTCTTACTAGCAAGTCACTGTGGGATACTGAGAGCAGCATTTTGACAAAGGCCTGAAGTACATTGTCAAAGTGGTTGTCCCCATACAACTTGAAGACGCCAAAGCTGACATAATTTCCACACAAGGAAGATTTGAGTGCAGAATAACAGATGGAAATACCCTTGAGTTTCATTGGATAAACTTGATCTTTTGACAGTGTCCCAAGGGATAGGATCTGATTACCTGTTTGTAAGGAGAGGAAAGAAAAGACATAAAGAAAGAGAGAAATTGACATAAGTAATTGAAAATAACAGTATCACTTCACATTTTCACTTCATCCTTTCTTTAAATTACTCAATGACACATCTAAAATTCTATTTTAGAACAGTAATTACTACATTTTAAAGGAATCACAAAAATTATTACAACAGATGTTGAAGACATAAAGAATAAGGTAAGGGCACTAAGTTTGATCTCCATTCCAGACAGCGGGCCCGACAGCAAGTTCCAAAGCAAGAAAATAATGGGTAATATATTTTCTTCGCTACCATTAATCCTTGTGAGGAAAATCAAGCTACTGGACTCAGGAACAATAGTGTGTGTGTGTGTGTGTGTGTGTTGCGTGCATGTAAGGAATCCACTCAACATCAAGGAAGACTCTTTCAGAGGTAGCAAAATTGGATTTCTGGGATGAGCAATATCTTCCAATCTCACACACAAAAAAGAACTCAGAACTGGATTTAATACGAAGGATTCTGCTTCTGCTTGGATTGTGCTCTGTTTGGCTAATTATGTGCTAATTATGCTCCCCTGAAAAGCAAGACTGACAACAGAATTTGGAAAAAATAAACATACTCTGAATAAGTTTCATTAGTATGCTCTCCAACAAAAGAAACGCATAAACTGAATGAGCATTCTATGCTATCTTAAAAATTTCAGCAACAAAAATAAAGCCCATCCTAACTTTTCCACTTAATTTTTATGGAAATGGGAAGAACCATAGGATTTCAGTTGGCATGTTCCTATGGGATTTCTGGGGCAGCCCAAGTCCTTGGCATATGTTAAAAAGAAAGAAAGAAAATGGAAAGAGAATTGGTGTAAGGTAATCTTAGAAGTTAAGAGCTTGTTGGATATTATATTGAAATTAAATGTATGTTTTTCTTCTTTTTAGTTATGATAATTTTGTAAAATATGCAAAGAAAGCAGAGTGTATGTAAATTATTCTTTTATCTTTAAAATCAATAAAATATATAAAAAAGAAAGAAAGAAAAAAAAGAAGGCCATTTCATCCTCAGAGGAAGGCAATGGCCAAATTCTTCTGAAAACCTCATGACAGGGTCACTATAAAATGAAAATGACTTGAAGGCACACAACAAGTCTGAAACAACTGGACAGCAGTACCTTGGGGATTAAGCCTTGTGAATTAAAGACTGAAGAAGAAAACTGTAAAAGTTTAGATACTAAATTCCCAGAATTGGACAATCCTGGGCCAATGATCTTAAATGTAATTTAAATAACTCTAGAGCCAGTGTGGTTTAGTGGTCTGGATGTTGGACTAAGATACTGGAGACCAGGGTTCAAATCTCTGTTTGACCACAGAATCCCACTAGGTGACCTTGAACAGTCTCTCTCTCTCAGCCTGAGTGGAAGGCAATGGCAAAACCCTCTCTGAACAAATTTTGCCAAGAAAACACACAACAGGTTCACCTTAGGGTCACCATGACAGAAATGACTTGAAGTCAAACAACAAGAGCTATGCCATCACAGTTTTTTGTGAATTCTGAGTGCTTTGGGGGAAATATCGTGGCATGCCACTGCCATGTACAAATCCCGTGTCCCTAAGATTCAAGTTTATGCGGCAACCAAGTCCATCAGCACACACCAATGTTTCCAGAGCTGAGTGAAAGAGAATGATAAAACACCTTCAACAGGTAATGCTTTCAAGCATGCATTCACAGTGTGTTGTCAGTGTCAGAAAAATTATGCCCCTTATTTTTGGGGTTGAGAACATATCTTCTTTCCATGATTTGTTAGGATGTTTAACTAAGATAAATGCTTCATATACATGTGACAACTTCCTCATCTCTCCTATTACTTCATAAGGAGTGATAAATATGCAGTCCTCAATTGAGGCAAAGGACTCAGTGTCATGCCAAGAGGGCAAAAAAGTATGGTTCCTAGCCTTCAAATTCTAACTGGGCAGAGAAAAAGCACCTTCCTTTTCAGGCCACAGCCCTCAACAGATCTCTCATAGTTCACAAACTATTAGTAATACCACCTTCTTAAAATAGCAGGAGGATATCTTATCTGTAGGATTTTAGGAAACACTACCATGAGAATAACAACAATCCTGGACTGATTGAGCACACAGTGTGGGGGCAGGCAAGAGGCAGGATAACAAGCAGGCAGAAAATAGAACAGAGCATCACCAATTTCCCATTTCCATATTTCCCTCAGGAAGAGCAGATCCTCAAACACTGGGGTAAACAAAGGCTTATCAATCATTTGTCCTATTTGGAGTGTTACTGCTGAATTATGTCAACATCTTAGAGCTCCATTCTCTGCATCTCTGAGCTACCAACACAACCAATTAAGGCTTGTGATGACAAAGCACGATATACAGTCACCCTTCTACTGCCTAACTGTTTAACAGGGGAGTCATTGCTCTGGTCTTTAAATTTTAAGAAACATAGCATTTTGATAGCACAATACCAATGTTGCCCTTTAAATGCTTTCCATTTTCTTGGAAAGCATGAGGGATCAGGGTGGTGGCAAGCAAACCATCCACTATTTATATTATTTCTTTTTATTGGGGCAGCTGACATAAATTGGATTATGCTCAGCCTTCTGTATCCACAGGATGTTTTATCCATGGATTCAAGCAACCATGGTTTGAAAATATTTTTAAAATGTATACATTCCAAAAAGCAAACCTTCCTTTTGTCATTTTAAATAAGGGACACAATTTTATTGTGCCATTGTATTTAATGGAACTTGAACATCTATGGACTTTGTTATCCACGGGGGGTGCTGGAACCAAACCCCAGCGAATACCAAGGGACAACTGTTCCTGTCCAACAACCTCAGCTCTCCCTTACCTGTTATGGGAAAACAAAGAAAAGGAGAGAATGCTTCCAACAGGGTGCTGTTACTCGATACAGCACTGAATAAAGCAGAGGGCTGAGCAATAGCGACTATTTAGCAGGAGTGGAGGCAATTAAAAATAAAAGTTAAAACACTATTTCAAATGAAGCTAGAATTTTCTGAAAAGCAGGCCCAATGCAATCACAGGTTGAATCAGCAGAGGTTAGACTGACTAAAAATAAAAGAACAAAGCATTGTTTGAATAGACTTGGCATGTTTATCATTAAAAAGTAAAAAAGAACAGGAATTTGTGTGATATTTAAATATGTAGTAGTTTATCAGATCCTAAGTCTATCAACACATAACTGCAAAATGTCAGTACTGAGACTGCTCAGAATGAAGGAGGAAGGGATATAGTGACTGGACATTTGAAATTTGAAATTTATTAAAAATAATAGTAATAATACTTATTACATAGCAGAGAACAATTTAACTTTAAAAAAAGATGCACTATTTTATGAAGTTTCTAGGGTGGAATGGATTACAACATTAAACTTTATACAATGGATGTTTTAGGAGCAATTTAAAGCTCATTAGAAACAATATCCTTGGCTACTGAAAAATGTGCTAAAATGTAATCCTCCTCCAAATGTTACCTGGACTATGAGAACAGGAAATTGTTCTGTGCTACTGTGGCTAACCTTGATACTGACCCTGGACAGTAACTACTAGAACAGCTGAAAGCTGCAACAAAATTAAAAACTTACATCAAAGTATATCATGACAGAATGTAGATAAATAAAATACAGCACATTGAAAATATTATTTCTCTGACAGTCTTCCAAAATGTTGAGTGAAAGCGTTACTGGAAATACAAGAACTCCTACTCACAAATAATACATAAATTAGGTTCTAGAACAAATCATTTTCACCCTAATGGACTGATATTTTAGCACTTCTGAATCCTACACACACACACACACACACACACACAAACAGAAAAAGAGAAAAAGAGAGAGGGAGGGAGAGAGAAGAAGGAGGAGGAGGAGGAGGAGGAGGAGGAACACCTGTATCTAACAGGAACAAATATGGTAGTAGCTCCTGTTATACTGGAAAAAATAATCCCCTACGTCAGACAACCTAACAAACATTGACCTACACTATGATGGGATAAAACTGAATGACAGCATAATGTAATGCAAGACTGTGCATAAGAGAGATGCTAGTGGATCACACAGCACTTGCTTAATTCTTGCAAAGGATGCTGAACTAGAGTTTGAACTGAGAAAATATCTTTCATGTTCAAAGACAAGTGAACGTACACAAGGCCACTTAACTTACATTGGTTTTGCCCTGGAAAAAGATTCTGAGTACACCCTCCTCCTTTTCATTTTTAAATTACATGAGTGAATCTTTGTGATCCTGATTTTATAGAAGGATATACCTCTAAAGTCAGAATTCTGTCCTAAAATATGATAAAATATTCAAAAATCCCTTTTAAGATAAATGTCATCACAACCCTCCCTTCCTTCTGCTTTAGCATTGCTACTTTCACCTCTAATCAAAAGACAAGCTAATAAAGGGGAAACAAAGCTAATACAAAACTGGTGTCTGGTTTCAGTAACAAACTGAGTAAGGGGCTAATAAAATAAAGCAGGAACCCTCCCTCCAAGATGGAAACACTGTTAGTGAGTAATGTGTCTGTTGAAGAAGGTGCTATTCTAACTTGCAGAGACTCAGGTTTGTAGTCTGCAGAAGCATATTGATCCAACTCTGTCACTGGAAGCTTACTTGGTTCCTATGATGTGGAGTGCTTTCTTCTGAGGATGAGGAGCAAAGTTTAGCCGCTCTTGGACTGAGATAGCTTTGTTTCCACTTCAAGACCATTTAAAACTGACCATTGCAATGTGTCACCTGTGGGATTGTCTTTGAAGATGACCCAGAAATTGTAACTGCTACAGAGCACATCTGTGAAGTTTCTAATTGGGTCCAGACAGCAGAAACAATTCTCACCAGTGGCAAAATCGGTCAAAATGAAAGAAAAAAATTAAGTGACAGGAAAATTTATAGTATAGTTATGACTGATGACAGCTTTCAAAAAAGCAAAAAAGCAAAGCAAAGCAGCTTCATTTATATCTCCTCCTACATCAAAAAAGGTGGGTGCTATGTTTTTTGTTTTGCTTTGGCTTTTGACCTCTCTTTTATTTATTGCTATTATTTTTGGGGAAACAGTTCCCTCTCTCAATCTAGTTTCCATCTGAAAGTCTCTACTTGTACCTTGTACCCAACACGGTACAGTGTAGAGTGGCAATTATGGGTCAAAATGTGGTTTTCTGACCCTTTTCTTTGGTAGAATTAACTTTGTAACTGATGAGAATGGTATTAGTTTTCTGATTCAAGGATGACATTTAAGCACCATACCAATGCTAAGTGTGTATTTTTGTGTGAAGTCATTTACAAATAACACTGTGGGGGATGCCTTTAAGAAACAAGCTTATGTGGCAATAATAATTCCTTCTCTCTTATGAACAGATGCTGGATCTGTGCACAGTGAATCAGAACTATTCTTGCTGCTGCTTATTTTGTTTATGTCTCTAATCACTGTATAGTTAGGGCTTTTATTTCTTGTTTTGATTCAAAAGAAGGTTTAAAGCCAAAGTTATATTTTGATACACCAACAAGCAAAGAAATGTGGACTGTAGATTACCATAATATCCCATCCCATGCTAATTCAAGACATCAGCACATTGATGGATCCTTCTTGTACCTTAACATCCACCACAAGTAAACCCAAGAGCTGCATGCCAATCTTTGATTCTGTGAAAAGGGGGGGGGGCACAACTTCTGGAGAGTAACAGTTGTGAGAATGTATTAAAAATGCAAGGAAATTTGGATCTCTTATCAGCTTTTTAAAGCAAATTCTAAAATATCATTAGCTTTGCTGGATTTATGACCATAATGAGGTTTGGATCAGAATGGAACTTATTTACCATTAGAAACGGGCAGGACAGACATAAGATGAAACTTTTACATCCGAGACTGCATATTTGCAAGCTTATGTGTCTGGCTTATACAGAACTAAGCCCATTAAGTAGAATGAGCCTTCCTTCCCCAAAATATAAATCAAGTAGCAAGGATAAATTAAAAAAAATTTTTTTTACAGGATTACTCTGAAAATATACTGTTTACAGATGTGGATACTATCAAAACATCTGTTTCACTTCAGCTCTTCCATACCACTACTGATGAACCATACAGAGTTGGTGGCAAGTGGGATTGTGGTTTTGTGCTTACTTGTGGTGGAATTCAAGACATAAGTAGGCTCCATCAATTGTCTGAGGCAGTCAGGTTCAGAGAACAGCTAACTTTCTTTATTAGGGGGGAAAGTCTGAAATAAGCTTGTTCTGTATGAATTGACCAATTGTTTCTTGTGCTCTTAATTTATTTTATATGTGGAAAATTTGATTTTGTTGAGTCTTTGGACCATAATAAATAATTGCTGTTGTTGTTG